ATATTACTTTACTTATAGTATATATATATATATATATATATATATATATATATATATATAAAGATTAATTAGAGATTGTAATCAAAATTGAAGCCACTAACCTCCGAAACCAAGGGGAAGAAAATAGAGGTGGACCAAAACCCACAAGCCTTTACAATGATTAACAAGCATAAAATTTTCGCTCGAAATTAGATACCTAATATCAGCCGAGGATGGCTTGCATGGTGAGTTCTTGTTAATGATCAAATTATGTGAAATCAAATATTAAAATCTTCATTAACCGAACACCAACTTAAACAACCCGTATATGGCCACTAGTTCCCTATCTCCTCTCTTCAAGTGGGTGGCAAGGTTGTCTTTGCTGTCACAACAAAAATCCGCAAATGGAATAAAGCACAATGGAGGTTTACAGCTAATGATCCCCGACTAATTCAGAAAAACACAAAAAGGTTCAGAATGACCTCAACAGACCTAAAATCCCATGTTTTTCTACACTTCTCTCATGTCACGTTTGAAATATTAACCTGAAGCCTTATGCATGAGGCACTCAGGGAATAAGATTATGAAATTTTTTCATAGTTAACATCCTACATTAAAAACAACACTTAAAACATGAGTCAAAGTCGTTGGATCATTTATTACAAAATTTTGAAAAGTAGTGCACCATGCCACTGTCCATAGATTGCAGCCTCATGTGTATAACTGTACATGAGGCTACCACCAAAAGAGCATCAAGGATCCAACACTTGCTCCACCTACAAATGGAGTATCGCATTTGATTCATTGCACACATAAATAACCCAAGAAATTCTTAAATCACAACTTGATACAAGCAATCTTATTGACTCATTCTCAACGCGATAATTACTCCGAAATAATAATCTGTTAAAAATTATGTCAAGGTATCAATCCAAGTTCTTGGGTTCCAAGGAAGTACATAATGTCAAGAAAAACTGTATAAACTGAACCAATTTATCAAAAATAAAGAGGTTCAAGACAACAAATGTACAATCTATAGAAAACCCAGAAAAAGAACAGGTGTAAAATCTTAAAAATCAAAACCTATGGAGATATAGGGCGAGCAAGGGGTATACAAATTCCTTTGTAAGGCTCAACTTGATAAGTGCTGAGTTGAATTGCCTGAGGGGACCAAAACAAAGTGGAAAATAGCATAAAAGTGCATAAAAATTAATAAAGTTTCATAGAGTCATGGTATATCAGCACATATTCTATAAACACACCTGCATACATATATAGGCGATTCATATATCAAACTAACACACAAAAGTACCACTCGATGTAGCCATATCGCCCTTGTGGAAATTACGATCACTGCACTTGTTGGAAAGTTTGAGGCCTCTGGATTTTGAAAAGCATAGGCCATTTAATGAAAGTTTACCAAACATAACGTCCTAAAAGAGGATAAGATTCAAAGAAAATACAGTATTTTACAAAGGAATCTTCTACAATTTGGGAGAAAAAAGTTCATCGAAAGCGCATATTTATGGTAAATTCCATGCTTACGATCGAAAAGGGTGAGAAATAAAGCTTCATAGAGACCATGTGATTGTAATAGAATGCCTTCAAGGATATGGACCCTCGAACTTTGGATGTGCACATTGGAGAATCCTTGCTACCTGTATTTCAATTATCATTCTTTATTAATGTAGACAGGTAGGAACCCAAATCTCCCCCCAAAAGAAAAAAAATAAAAGAAAAAGAATGCTAGCTCCCATGAATCTCCTCCGAACTTCAGATTGATATAATTTGCTGCTGGCGTAAGAGAAATGAAAATAATGAGCATCAATACTAGGCACTTATAGATCGGGGACAAAGTAAGCCATTTTTAGTCATCTAAAAGCCCTAGAAGTAAGAGTTCCTAGGCATACCTCTGTCCCAGGGTACTTCATTCAATCGGATCTGCAGTCTTAAAGATAAGGAGTAAGGACTCATATTCGCCGTTTGATCTGGGTGCCGAACCTTAGGGACTCGCCTGACAGGTTCTTTCATTCTTTTATCTTTTATTTTCTTTTATTGTTTAATTTTTTTTAACTATCTATTTAGTTTTATTTCTTAGTCGATATGCTTCCCTTCTCTTTATTCTCTTTTGTTTTCATTGTTATTCATCTTTAATTTTTTTATTATTCTCTTTATTTTATTTAGTTCATCTTTATTCGTGATTTCTTAGTTTTCTTTATTGCTTTAGCAGCTTATTTTTCCATTTCATTTTAGTTCTACTTTCTTTTGCGTTTATTTCGGATTTCACACTACCTAAGTCGGCGCGGCCGAAGATTTTCAAAGAATAGGCCTTTTAAGGTTGATTTCTTTGTAGATCTAAATTTGAGGGGATCCACTTTGTATTAGCTATTTTAAATAACTAACTTTGCATACAATCTTAGATGGATCAGGCTTCCCGTAGCCAGGTCTCGAATTCAGAAATAGGTACATGCAATGACAAAACTTATTGATGTAAAGTACTATTTATCCTTGAGATAATAATAGCCGAAAGTGATGTCTTGTTAATGAAGACTGACAAAAAAAGGATATGTTGACAAAACTTGTTCTATTACATAAGTTCAGTTTATACTTAGACTTGATTTATGTGTTCCCAAAATGAGGGCATATATAGAGAAGATGATTGAAAGGAATGTCTTCTGAAATTCAAGTCAATGTGGAGAATTATTAAGTCCATCTTGAATCCTTAAAATCTACGGCTTGTTTCCTTAATTTTGGGGTCTCTAATCTTTTGGGTTTCTTATTATTTAGGATCGTGATTAACCAACTTACTATTATTTAGGAGCTTATTTGGGTGATCCTATTTGGATCAGGATGGTATGTACTCCATAGAGAAAAAGGTAAAGTTAGGAAAATTAGGGAGGCCTCATGTGGGTTTTTTTCTTGGTTAGATTTTTCACTCTATACTAGGTTGTATTGTAGAGAGAGAAAAAACATAGATACGAAAGGAAGGGAAACTTGGGTTAGGTAGAGAAAGAAAATTGTAGAGAGAGAGAGGTTTTTTGAGAGATTAAGTTTTCATCTATGGATGGATGTAGTCACATCTATGACGAATAACATAAAATCTCGTTGTTCTTTTTACATTATTTATTTCATGCTTTATGTTTCTTTCTTATGGTTTATATGTTGCCGGTTCTATTTTTCTCACTCTTTATTTGCCAAAAATCAACTCATCTGATTTTAGAATTTCCACGCACAATATTACCTACATGAATATATGTATGCAATATACACATGATTACATTTATTTACATATATAAAATAAAATATATATAACATCATATATAGTTTTTTATCTAGACACAGACCTAACCTAAGCAAGAGGTTCACATCTTGATCCAGTGATCTGGACCCTTAATCCCCTAGACCATACCTAGGTTGGATATAGGTTCGGATCTATCATAGACCTTATTAGATCAAGTTGAGTCAGGTCAATATCGATCTGACTGGTCTCAACACAATATATGTGTGTATATGTGCGTGTGCATGCATTTGTGTGTGTGTAAAATCCTTTGTACAGAATAAAATATGTAGAATAAAGGACACCCAACCCAACCGATACAAATAAAATTGGGGTTTAATTTTTATTTTATTTTTTAATAGAAATTGCCCTCGGATAAATCAAGTTAATTTGGGAGGAGGGCAGGTTTTGTGCGTGATGTATTATTGATAAATTAGTTGGTTAGTTTAGGAGTATAAATAGGATAAGGTTAAAAAAGGGAAGGTTATCTATTCAACTATAAGGCAACATTTTACTTCTGGGGGAGGCTTTGGATAAAACGTGGATTATCTAACCAATTTTGTTAACACGTGAGGTTAAGAGATAGGGATGAGAGAGAAAATAGGTTAAGAGAGATAAAATAGGGATGAGAGATAAAATAGAAAAAAAATTGATCTTCCGTGTTTTAATTTATTTAAGAGAGATTTTCCTTGACTGTAAATTAGTGAATGGGTTAATAAAATTTGGTCTAGAGATTATTTTTGGGTGGATTATCTTGTAAACCTTGAGAGATGGTATATTCTTTCAACCTTTTCTTTTTATTTTTTTCTGTATCAATTAGTACAGTGCAAGTTAGATCCAGAGCAAGTTAGATCATGAGATATTCAGTTTGTTTTACAATGCCACCTAATCTTGCTCCTATGGATGATCGTTGGGGACAAACTATAGAAAATTTGAGTAAAGCCTAGAGGATGGGGACAATCTATAGAAAATTTGACTAAAGCCCTAGAGGATTTTCGAACTGAGATGAATAAGGGGATAGAACGGTTGGATTAGAGGTGGCAACGATTGGAGAACAATCTTCCTTGAGAAGAAGGTGCTCGCAGCCAAATTGATCTTGCCTCAATGAAGAAATTTATAAAGCCAAATTCGTGTCTTATAGAGCAGCAAAGAGATTTCGATATTAAAAACGATCTCCTAAAGTTTCATAGTCAATGGCGTTCATCAATTGCATATGGTGCGTCTTTGAAGTTGGACCAATTCTTAGTTAGGAATAATCACAATCAACCCAAGCTCGTATTCAACCATTACTCATGGAACACATTCATAATTACTCATGGAACACGTTCGCAAGTAAATAGTCTTACATTAGTCTTGAAGAAATGTGCCAAAGCGCATGGTGGGATTACATCACCAATTAGCTGATGGTGATTGGTTTGAACCTCGAGGTCGAGCTTTTCTCATCCCCGGGAGAATGATACAAATAAAATTGGGGTTTAATTTTTATTTTATTTTTTACTAGAAATTGCCCTAGGATAAGTCAAGTTAATTTGGGAGGAGGGAAGGTTTTATGCGTGATGCATTATTGAACAATTGGTTGCTTAGTTTAGGAGTATAAATATGATAAAGTTAAATAAGGGAAGTTTATTTGTTTAACAATAAGGTAACGTTTTGCCTCTAAGGGGAGGCTTTGGATAAAACGTGGGTTATCTAACTAATTTTTTTTAACACATGACTTTAAGAGAAAGAGAGATAAAATAGGGATGAGAGATAAATAGAAAAGTGTTTATCTTTTTTTTTTAGTTTATTTAAGGGAGATTTCCATTCATTGTAAATTAGTGAATGAGTTAATAAAATTTGATCTCGTCAAGAGAATTTTTTAGTTTATTTAAGGGAGATTTCCTTTCATTGTAAATTAGTGAATGAGTTAATAAAATTTGATCTTGTGAAAAGATTATTTTAAGGTGGATTCCATTGCAGATCTTGAGAGAGGGTATATTATCTCAACCTTTTCTTTTTATTTTTTTGGTTTTATTTTTTTCTTGCATCAATTGGTATCAGAGCAAGTTAGATCCAGAGCAAGTTATATCAAAAGATTTCCAATTTGTTTTACAATGGCACCAAAAACTAATCAAGCTAATCTTGCTCCTATGGATGATCGTTGAGGACAAGCTAATCCTGCTCCTATGGATGATCGTTGAAGACAAGCTATAGAAAATTTGACTAAAGCCCTAGAGGATTTTCGAACTAAAGTACGGTTGGATCAGAGGTTGCACGATATTTTGATATTAAAATCGATCTCTCAAAATTTCATGGTCCAGGGTGTTCATCGCATATGATGAATCTTTGAAGATAGACCCATTCCTAGTTAGGAAAAATCATAATCAGCCCAAGTACGCATTCAACTATGGAACACAGTCGCAAGCAAAGAGTCTTACATTAGCCTTGAAGAAATTGAAGAAAATGTGCAACCATGGAATACAGTCGCAAGCAAAGAGTCTTACATTAGTCTTGAAGAAATTGAAAAGAATGTGCCGAGGCGGGGGGATTACATCACCAATTAGCATATGGTGATGGGGTTGAACCTCGAGGTCGAGCTTTTCTCAACTCCTGGAGAATGATGCAAATAAAAATGGGGTTTAATTTTTATTTTATTTTTTAATAGAAATTGCCCTAGGATAAGTCAAGTTGATTTGGGAGGAGGGAAGGTTTTGTGCGTGATGTATTATTGATCAATTGGTTGGTTTGTTTATGAGTATAAATAAGATAAAGTTAAATAAGGGATGTTTATCTGTTCAACAATAAGGCAACATTTTGCCACTAAGGGGAGCTTTTATCAATTGGTTGGTTTGTTTATGAGTATAAATAAGATAAAGTTAAATAAGGGATGTTTATCTGTTCAACAATAAGGCAACATTTTGCCACTAAGGGGAGCTTTGGATAAAACGTGGGTTATCTAACATTTTTTTTTAACATGAGATTAAGAGATAGGGATGAGAGAAATAGGAGGAGAGATAAAATAGGAAAGTGTTTATCTTCTTTTTTTAGTTTATTTAAGGGAGATTTTCCTTCGTTGTAAATTAGCGAATGAGTTAATAAAATTTAGTCTTGTGAAGAGATTATTTTAAGGTGGATTCCCTCTCAAATATTGAGAGAATGTATATTCTCTCAATATTTTTTTCGTTTTTTTTTTGTTTTATTTTTTCCCTGCATCACCAACCCAACCCATCAACACCCCTCAACCTTTGCGGTCAAGTTTTGTTAAAATAACTTTGGTCTTCAAAGTCATCTTGACAAGTCTTGACTTCGTCCCAAGTCAAACTTTCTCAAAATTTTAAGTCTTGTTGCTTCATATCTTGAAAATAAGAAGCTAATAATTTTCTCACTTTCAATGCACCAAAAATGAAAGTACGAACATAGAAAACGAAAAAATTTGAACAGTTGCATTCAATGATGTGGCTTTAAGGGACATTAGCATAAATTTCTCTAAAATTTAAAAATCTAAAATTCAAGAAGTTCGACCGCACCAACAATTTGACAAAGGTATGACACGAGAAGCTAAAACATTATGAGTAAAGAACCAAATTTAAAGGAAATAGATAAAAGAAATGAGAGCAAGATGGGAACATATCTAATCAGACCAGTTTGAGCATTGCATCGCATTAACAAAAACACAAATAAAATAACCTATAATCATCATCCATGTCCATCTTCATTTAGAGAAGTGCAAAATAGTACTAGGAAGGGAATGTGGATCTTAGACTTTTTTAGAAAGGTATGTAGCATAGATATAAGAGCCTTTTGTATAGTCCGCAATTGAGGATGGACCCGTTACACCTTTCCAAAGTCCTAACAGACTTTCTACACTGCATAATTTCCCTAAAAATTAAAAGATAATGACAAGTATTTTAAGTATTATCTTTTTAACTTGTCTTGTAATAAAACCCTAGGATGTACGGTTTTTTGAAAACCTGATGGCACTCCTCAGTTACTGCTGCTTTTCCAATTAACAAACCCATTCCCTCTCTCTAATCCATAATCATAGATTTAAAATATTTAGAGAAGCAGAAACTAGAGCTCAGTCTGTTGACAAATGGGGGATGTGTTGTATTTTGAAATGCTCCTCTCCTCCTTCTTGCATCAGCCTATTCGTAAATTCCTCTGGCATAGAATTAATTTGCAAGCGACGGAGGGTGTTGAAACCCTTGAGGAAGCATCTTCAATTTTGGAAAATATGCAGGTAAGAAAGGCAGGGGAAGGATCCCTCCTCTATCTCTCCCCACTTTTCCATAGAACCCAAAGAAAGGTTTTTGAGTGAGGGAAATGATCCCCTGCCACAACCTCCTATTTTTTGGCATGTATATGCTTTAGAGAGGTTGAGGGTGGATAGATTAGGAAGGGATTGGAGGGCAGCAATTGGGTCTTCACTTAACTTAGTACCCTTCAAGTTTAATACAGCGATGCGACTGTGGGAAGTGAGGGCACTTGGAATTCTTTGCATTCGCATGTATAAAATCAAAAACCATAGGGATGGTGGAGGCTGGAAAGCTTGTAGGTCAAAAACCGAAGGAGGCGCTCCATCTATGTCCTCTAGCGCACTGGCTATCCAAATGTGCAAAATTGTGAGTTCGCGAAACTTGTTAATGGAGGCAACAAATTCAGAGCAGCACAACTCCCTCATCTCCCACTTCATTCGTAACACACGGAGTCTCCTCAAGTAACAAAGTCCTCTAACCACACCTACATCAGTGATATTTAAATGATAACGGATCTGCAGATTTTCTAAGCTTCTCGTTGCTTCGCGATACTTGAAGGTTATTCCATTAGTTGTTACATGGCTCAATGACGCTGATATCATTTTAGGAAACATTAATTTGCTACTTACATCCAAGGTGTGCAGACTCACAAGGTTGTTAATAAGTTCTTGGAAATTATAAGAAAAGGCATTTATGTGTACATACCTCGAGTGTACCACATCCTTCCGGCTCATATGAATCTTTTGCAATTCACTTACTTTCCACATGCTTTCGCAATTTACTACTTTCCACATGCAATACTCTCAATTTCATGAACTTGCAACTCAATTGTCCTGGAAACGAGCATCCAAACACTAAGATAGAATCATGTTTCTACTCTTAAGATTTTCCATGTAATCACCAACAATAAAGAGGCGGTGGGTTTCTTCACGGGGTTCAAACTTACCTTCTCCACCGTAGAATTCACCCAACATCTCTTCCTTAGCAATGGGAAGTGCAAACTCACATATGATATCATGAACTCGGGAAGAATGGGCATCGCCTTGTTTCGTTTCCTCACCAAATAGCAGCATACTTCTGTCAAGAAGCTCCTTAAAAGTGTTCATCTGCTATGTGCTCCATGATTTTCCCAGGCGACTCTTCAATGAACCCTTCAGCACCATAGACTAATCAACATCTCCCTTTTAATCGTATGATCCTCGGGAAATAAGCTACAGTATAAAAAGCATGATTTGAGATGCAACGGAATATCATTGTAGCTAAATGAGATAACATGAGCGACTTGACCACCACCTTCATGGACCTCCCATTGGGGGTCTTCAAGAACCCTCCACCATTCCACATATGTCAATGACTTCCTTGACATAATGCCTCCCATGACAATGATAGCCAGGGGTAGGCCATCGCATTTTGCCACAAGGCCGTCTGCCAAGTCTCTAAGCTCATCAGGACACATTCTATCATGTTGAAATGCCTTCTTACAGAAAAGATCAAAAGCTTCACTATCTTCCATTGGTTTAAGTTCGTAAATGCGGCTCACTGTGATCACCATTGGTTTTCTGTACGGACTGAAGCTTCACTATCTTCCATTGGTTTAAGTTCCTCTCGAGGCTGAACAGTTTAGGGTCATGCAATACCACATCCTTCGTGTTCACAGAAAATGTCCAAAAATGCACTACTATCCACATGCTATACTCTCAATTTCCTGAATTTCCAAATCTATGGTCCTTGAAAAGAGCTTCCAAACACTAAAAGAGGACGAACCCATGCCATGTCTCTATTCTCAAGATTTTCGATATAATCGCCAACAATAAAGAGGCGACAAGTTTCTTCACGGAGTTTAAATCTACCCTCCCCACCATAGAATTCACCCAATATCTCTTCCTTAGCAATGGGGAATGCAAACTAACGTACTACATCATGGACTTGGCAACCATCGGCATTGCCTAGCAGCATGCTTCTATCAAGAAGCTCTTTGAAGTACTCATCAGCTATGTCCTCCATGGCTTTCCCAGGCCCCTCTTCGATGAACCCTTCAGCAACCCATAACGTTATCAGCATCTCCCTATCAATCTCATTATCCTTTGGAAACAAGCTACAATATAGGAAGCATGATTTGAGATGCAGAGGAAGATCATTATAGCTAAAAGAGAACACAAGAGACTTGACCGCCACCTTCATGGACCTCCCACTGGAGATCTTCAAGAACCCTATTTCATTCCAGATATGTCAAATGCTTCCTTGACATAATGCCTCCCATGACTACAATAGCTAGGGGTAGGCCACCGCATTTGCCACAACGCTATTCCCCAAGTCTCTAAGTTCATCAGGACACATTCTATCATGCCGAAATGCCTTCATACAAAAAGGATCAAACGCTTCACCATCTTCCATTGGTTTAAGTTCATAAATGTGGCTCATTGTGTTCACCACATTAGCTACGCCTTTGAGACGCGTTGTGATGATTATTCGACTTCCTTTATCATACTCTGGTAAAGCAGAATCGATGAGATTTCATACCTCGACCTGTCATACATCATCAAAAACCACCAAAAACCTTTTCTCCCATACATGATTATTTAGATTATTCAAAAGTTGGGATTGGACTTCCCTCTCAATTTCATTGGAGCTCCTCCCCAGACTTCTTATGGCACCAAATTCTTTGATAATGATTGCGATACTGTGACTCATGAAGAACAGGTAAACCTGCTCTTTAAGGAATTATAAACTCTCTTTGCTAGAGTGGTTTTACCGGCTCCATCCATTCCCACAAATGAAAGCACTCCACGTTTTTGACGCTCTACGCAATAACCAAGAACGTAAGTCACTTACAGGCTTGTCAATCCCTATGATATCATCTTCTTCCATAGAAGAAAAACTGGGCCGCGGATCTCGTCAATGTGTGATGGAATCATTTGAGGGCTTCCTTCATTTCTTTCCGGTTCCAATTGGTACCTCGATCTCCCATCTGAAACTTCTTGAACCCTCCTTCTAATGCCTCGGATCTCAGTCACAAACTTATGATGGATTATCAGCTTCTTGAAAAAATTTAAGCCACGCCTTAGCCCTTTGCGGTGCCGTAAAATCTTATTCCGAGTGACAAACTCATCGAGGATGTCATCTGCACGTTTCTCACACGTTCCGCCTAATCTTTAAGTTCCTCATCTCTTCGTTTTCTTTTATCAGCATTCCGTAGGAACACTTTCATTCTCTGAAGCTCATCTCTAATCCAAATGGTGTCTTCGCGCACTTATGAGAGGAGCCCCACCTTGTCTTTGATAAAATCATACAATCTCAGAAGGAGAGACGATAGAGCGGGACTGGCCATTGCTGTGTTTCTCACAAGCAAAAAAAGCAGTTGGTCCATCTCTATCGAACTCGTCAAACTATGGCTCTGCTAACTTCTTCAACACTAACTGCCTTGAGCCATATAACATGATGGGTATATATTATCGAAAATAATTGTAGTGTGAAAACTCATCACCTTGGTTTCTTCACTCGCTCTCTCGCATTCTTAGCATGCGGAAATTTCATGGAAGCATATGGTTTCTTTACTTCTCCCTCGTATTCTTAGCATGCAAAAATTTTATGGAATCATATACTTTTCCATTACTCCTCAGCAGTGAGCCAATGACCAAACTGCAGCTACAACATTGTACTCCTCAGCATTGAGCCAATGACCAAACTGCAGCTACAACATTGAATTTAGTGCAGCTTTTTAAAGTTTATACATTTGTGGGCCCGTTTGGATCCATCGAAATAGATTATCTAGAAACTATATTTCCATTTAAATTTAAATAATTGTGAAATTAATTATATTTTATAAAATGGATGTCTCTATGACGGGAAATCTAGCTGAAAATTAATTTCGGAGGGTAAAGATAATGATACAGATTTCTTTATATTTGGCTTGAAATGAAGAAAACGATTACGGGCATAAATAAATTTCAGTTTCAAAATTTCGATCCAAACGCCAAAAATGTGTCATTTCCACTAAAATACATTTCTAGAAATGTATTTTCAAGTATCCAAACGGCCCATAAAATCTATGTTTTTACTTTTAACGTTTTCTAAAATTTATTGAGGTCTATTCTTTTTCCATTTTTCGAAGAGTACAACGTATGGATCCCCTTTGGGCCATAGTGGGGAGATGCAATGACCTTTCGTGGCCCATGATTTTTGTCGGCTTACTTGACTTATTGTCCTTAATCCTTATTTTGAGTGATGATGCTCCACCTTAATTAATTAATTCATGTTTGCTCACCTCTACCCCAAGCATTTCAAATGAGCCCCCATCGCAAATAATGCAATGCATAAGGCCAAACCCACACTTGAATTTGATTCGACTACTATCCCCCTCTCTCTCTCTCTCTCTCTCCTCGTATGACTCGTAATGGACTGTAATAATCTCTCTCTCCTCCTCGTATGACTTGTAATGGGCTGTAATAAGTAATGGGATTAAAAAAGATTACAAAAGAAAAACAGTTCAGTGCTTAATATGCACATTTTGGATCAGTTAATCATAGCCATCCATCAAGGTAAGGTCCCTTTCCGTACCAGTGTTAGCAATATCGGCCATCCAACTCGGAAATAGCTGGTTAGACCAGAGGCTGGTTCCAGTTTTGGTCGATTTTTTTGATCCGGCCAGCTATTTAAAAAAAGTCTCAAAAAATTATATAAAATCCCAAAAAATAAGGGTTTATTTTTTAATGTTTTTTTTATCATTATGGTGAATATTTATTTTGGCCATGAATATTTATTTTTCATTTTTCTATCTTTTTAAAAAATTTCAAAAACACCCTTAGGCACAAATTGATTTCTAAAAGTTCTTTTTTTTTCAACTTCATTTGGATGTGTTTTGCTTAATCATGTTTTAAATATACTTTTTACTTTTTTTTTTATATTTTTTTCTAACGCTTATTTGACTGAATGGGACTTGCCTAATTAAGGTGGTTTATTGGTTACTCGGAATCAGCTCTTGACGGTTTCCGAGCCGTTTCAATTTTTTAAACAATGTTCCATACACTAACAAACCCCATACTCAAAATCCATGAACCTCTTCATGAATACAAGGCGTCTCCTACATTTAGACACCATTGAGATCATCCCTCTCAAAGTTTGGAGAGAAGGAACCGAGTATAGATTTAGAAGGCGTAAATTCTGAGATCTTCTTTTGTTCAATGGAGCTTTCAACTTTTATGTAGATTCGGACATATGATATTTATTTGCTTTCTCGGAGTAGTAAACACCCTCAAATTTTGCAATCGAGTTTAAGCGAGCATACCCTAAAACTTTCTGAAAGAAAGTATGGGGTGATTTGATGTTAGCAACAGGGTATTATATATGGCTTGGTATTGCATCCATAGGTTGGGAAAGATTGAGGCCAAAAGTGAATTTCGTTTTTTATTTTTAATTTTAGTTTAAAATGATATTAATCTAAAATTTAGGTTTAGCATCATTTTGTATATAGAATAAAATAAAAGTACAAAAACAGTATTTTGAATAAGAAACATGGATCAAAATAAATATAGGGGTGTTTTGGTTATTTTTACTCAAAATATTTTTAAATTATTTTTATTTAGAATAAAAAATAGGATATTAATTTTGGCCAACGGATATGGCCTTTTGAAATTTTAACCATTTGATGGGTTATTTGTACACCCTTTCTTCCGCACGATTTTGACGGAATACTTCCCCACCAAACCCCATCACCACCCCCTACCCCCTATCCACGCACCTTAAACGATCCAATGAAGGCGCACCTTCAAATTTTATCCCAACGTGTGATTTTGATGTAAAGCATTCTTAAGATTATCCAAAATCTATTTTCATATCTAATTAGAAAATTTTAAACTTCAAGAATGGTTAAAATCAAGTAGATCCATAAACATATAAAAATCTTGAAAATGGACGGTCTAGATAATGTGTTGCAAAATGAACTATTTATGGGACTCAAAATTTTTTCCTTTTTTCATATTCATACCTCTTGTTGTCGAGATGATCAAGTACAAGGTTTTCAACATTAAAACAACCTTTTTCAATAGATTTTTGAGATGCATTTGTAATTCTTTATTTTAAGGTTGCATCCTTATATAAATTTTTTACTTAACAAAATATTTAATGATCAAAGAGATCTATTAATCAAAAATTTGATTAATCATGCGTCACCCCTTAGACAATAAGAAAATTTTAACTACGATAATATGGAGAAGTAGTTTAATTAAAAAGAAAAATTAATAAAAATTTATAATTTGTTACAATTTTTTTTCCAAAAAATATATGAGGAAAATTTGTATAGATCAGTGTTCGCAAAATCAAACTGGAAAGGTTATCCAGACGTGGGGCTGGGAGCGGTTTGACCGGAACCGGACGAACCGAGGCGGTCAAGTAGATTTTTTTTTATTTAAAATGGGTCAAACCACTCTCCCCCCCCCCTTCCCTCCCCGAGGCAGTTGACCGGACTAACCGGTCAAGTATATTTTTTTTTATTTAAAATGGGTCCTCCCCCCCCGCCCCCGAGGCAGTTGACCGGACTAACCGGTCAAGTATATT